TCCCTGCTGAGTGCGGAGCCTGATGCTGGGCTTGATTCCAGGACCCTGAGATCATGACTTGAGCCGATCATGACCCTGCTCGTGCTCTCTCTCAAATAAATAAATAAAATCTTTAAACAACAACAAAACCCAAGAGCATAAATAAGTTGCCTAGAGTGCTCACATAGGAACTGGAAGATCCAGGAGTGGCTCTGGAGCCGACTAACTCTCGGCTGGTGTGTCCTCTTAGAAGCACGAAGCGACTTCAGACAGATTTGCAGTAACCAAAGCCAAAAAGCCTTATTTGGAAAGCTGAATGCCAGCTTTATTACTTTTTAGGCAAAGCTACTCCCAGGTAGAGAATGAAGATTGAGAACTTCCCTTTCTTTCAGTAGGAAGATCTACTCAGAAAAGTAAATTCAACCCAGAAATTTCCCTTATTTAAAAATGGACATGGGCGCCTGGGTGGCGCATCGGGCTCCCTGCTTGGCAGGGAGCCTGCTTCTGCCTCTGACCCTCCCCCCTCTCATGTGCTCTCTCTCTCTCATTCTGTCTCAAATAAATAAATAAAATCTTAAAAAAAAAAAAAAGGACATTAGAGACCAAGGAAGTAACTGATTTAAAGGTTTTCTTCAAATCGGCGTATGTTTGAAGTAGATCCCTCTGTCACATCCTTTGCCATGTGTTGGGACTGTTGTCTCAAAAGCCTGGCCTATTGATAAAACTATCTGGGTCCAACAGTCAGTTCTGGATGAATCCAAGCCCTGCTGTCCCTTAGCATGATGTCCTCAAGGTTCATCCCTGTTGGAGCATGTGTCAGAATTTCCTTTTTTTTTTTTTAAAGATTTTATTTATTTATTTGAGAGAGAGAGAGTGCGAGAGAACACAAGCAGTGGGAGCAGCAGACGGAGAGGGAGAAGCAGGCTCCCCGCTGAGCAGGGAGTCTGTCGTGGGGCTCGATCCCAGGACCGAGATCATGACTTCAGCTGAAGGCAGACGCTTAACTGACTGAGCCACCCAGGCGCCCCTGAAATTTCCTACTTTTTAAGGTTGAATAATATTCCATTGAATGGCTAGACCACATTCACTCTTCGATGGACACTCTGGTCGTTTCCACCTTTCTTGGCCTTTAAAAAAGGAAATGACATGATCTCACCTGTGTTGTCAGAGCGTCAAGGATGATGGGAAAGGCCGGCGACTGGGGAGGACTGTGCACTGCCCGAGGGAGGCACAGTCAGACAGGAGCAATCTGGGTGGACAAAAGGACCTGAGTGAGAGCCTGTTTTGGTTTTGGTGACATCTAGGCTGTCTGGGGTGAAAGGGAGGGGTAGGAACCAAAGGTCTTAGTTTGGGTGGTTAGGAGGGTAAAGATGCCCTTAACTGAGATGGAGGAATCAGGAGGAGGGAGAGGGAAGAGGAGGGAGGGGGAGAGAGGAGGGGGAGAAGGTAAAGGGGGAAGAGGGGGAGAGAGGAGGGGGAGAAGGTAAAGGGGGAGGAGGGGGAGAGAGGAGGGGGGAGGAGAGAAATTGTTCTGGTTTCCTCTGGGGATGGGGTGGAGGGGGAAGATCGTGCTGGTATTTGAACTTGGGATTCTGAGGGGTCTTCAGGACATTCAGGTGGAAATGCTGGGGGACAGGTGTGAAAACGAAGTGAGATGACCTCATGAAAGGGATCAGCAAACCAGGGTTCCCGCCAGCCCTACACGTTCTTAAAGCGGCTGAGCCTCTCCCAATCCGTTAGCATGGGTACATAGCGCCCTCTCGTGGCAGTATGGTGCAACTGCAGTTGAGCCTACCACCTAGCGAGGAAATGTCTTTCGGAATCCTGAAAGGGGCCCCTTTAGCCTGAGAAGGAAATCTGACACTGACACGCCCAATGTGTTTTAAGATCCTTATGTAAGGATTGGGTGCTCAAGGGTCCAGGGAAGCCGACTGCTCCCTCAGCAGGTGTTGTGAGCCTAGGAGGCACCTGTGGGACCGGATGGCTGAGAGAAGGCAAGGCAAAGTTAATGGGGCATAGTGAAAAGAGAACAGTGTGTATATTGAAATTATTTTGGGGTCACCCTCATGCTCCCAAATTTCCTTTTAACTATTAATGTACAGCTATTAATATTTAATTTTCCAGCCAGGCAGCTTTAGTTTAACGAAAATTGTCTGCCTAGGTGGTCCCTAAGCAACATTACTACCTGGGAAACATTTTGCTTTGAGCTTCTTTCTTCTTTTTAAAAAGCTTATTTATTTGTTTAAAGTAGGCTCCACACCCAACGTGGGGCTCGAACTCACAACCCTGAGACCAAGAGCCGCATGCTCCACCGACCGACCGAGCCAGCTAGGTGCCCCTTGCTTTGGGCTTCTTATCTCCTTCTAATTGGCCCTGTCTCAGTTTAAGGAAAGGGCATTTCAGAAGGCCGAGCTTTTATTTCAATACTACACCCAGGAATGTCTCAAATGGCAGAAACTGCCTGGTGGCAGGCTGTTATCAGTTAGGACACAGGTTTGATGGCTGTGAATGAGACTCCAAATGTGAGCGGCTGAAACAAGACAGAGGATTGTTTTTCTCACATTTGTAAAGTCTGGATTTAGGCGGTTTGGGGCTGGGCTGGGGGCTCCACCGGCAGGCACCTGGCACTCTGGTTGCTTCCAGCTTTCTGCTCCACTGTCCCCAGGGTGTGGTTCTCAATGTCACAGTTGAAGATGGAGCTCCAGGCACCACACCCAATCCCAAGGAGCAGGATGAGGAAGACCAAGGGGGAAGGAGGGCTCACCCCTTCCCTGTAAGGGCCTCACCTGGGAGTTGCATGGAAAACATTTCTGTTGTCTTGAGGAATAAATGAATTAATGAGTTTTGAACAGTACCTGGCTTAAGAAGGCCTTTCTCTCAGTAGCAATAACCATGATAGAATACTTAATATAGCTAATTATTTTTTTAAAAATTTATTTATTTGAGAGAGAGCGTGCAAGTGAGTGGGGGGTGGGCAGAAGGAGAGGGAGAGAAAGAATCCCAAGCAGGCTCCACCTGGAGCCCAATGTAGGGCTTGATCTCACGACCCTGAGATCATGACCTGAGCTGAAATCAAGAGCTGGATGCTTGGGGCGCCTGGGTGGCTCAGTGGTTGGGGGTCTGCCTTCGGCTCAGGTCGTGATCCCAGGGTCCTGGGATAGAGCCCCGTGTTGGGCTCCCTCCTCGGCGGGGAGCCTGCTTCTCCCTCTCCCACTCCCCCTGCTTGTGTTCCCTCTCTCGCTGTGTCTCTCTCTGTCAAATAAATAAATAAATCTTAAAAAAAAAAAAAAAAGAGTTGGATGCTTAACCGACTGAGCCACCCAGACACCCCTGTAGCTAATAATTTTTGAATGTTTATTACATACCTGCCACTAAAGAGTGTTACCTGTGTTGGCTCACTTAACCCTCATCCCATTCTGGGGTATACACTACTGTTATTTTACAGACAAGAAAACTGAGGTAGAGAGATCACACAGTTATAAACCGCAGAGCTTCCAGTCAAAACCATTCAATCTTATTCCAGAGACTGCTTACTTAGCCAGTAACCCATACTAACTCCCATGTGCACTATTTTGTATATATATATATTTTTTGGAGGGGGTTTAGTATTATATTAAGAATTTATTCCCATATCGAAGACACATTGTTCTCAGGCCACTGCAACCTGACCTGTGTTTGGTTCTCCAGACCCCTTACATAGCTTGGGTAGAGAGGAAGTCTGAGTAGGAGACAGGATATGCCTGAAGGCTTGAGCCAGGAGGCCTGGGAGAGCCCTTCATTGGGTTCCTAAAGAGAAGGGGCAAATACCAGATTCAAGGCCAAAGGTGCGGAACTCCATTGCAAACAATAACCTGTATAAATCAGGGCGCCCTGATCAATCCCGAGGAAAACATCCAGTCATTCCTGGGTATTCTATTTTTATTCCTTTTTTTTTTTTTTTAAAGATTTTATTTATTTATTTGAGACAGAGAGAATGAGAGAGAGAGAGCACATGAGAGGGGGGAGGGTCAGAGGGAGAAGCAGGCTCCCTGCCGAGCAGGGAGCCCGATGCGGGACTCGATCCCGGGACTCCGGGATCATGACCTGAGCCGAAGGCAGCCGCTTAACCAACTGACCCACCCAGGCGCCCTATTTTTATTCCTTTTAAAGCAATTGTGATTGGGTTTCCTTTTTTCTTTAATATTTCCCAACTATTTGTTGTTGGTATATAGGCAATCTATTGATCTTGTATATTTGCTTGTCACCCACATTTCTGAACTCTTTGACTTATTTCAGGGAATTGGCCATTGATTTTCTTGAGTTTTCTAGGTAGGAAGGCAGAGCATCTGCTAATAAGTGTCAATTCATTTCATGATTGTTAGTATTTGAACTCATTTCCTCTTGTCTTAAGGAATTAACTTAGAAGTGCCAGAAAAATATTGAATAATTGTGGAAATAGAGATTCTGGTTTTATTCCTGACCTTAATGGGAATGTGCTCATGTTTCATTAAGTGAGGTAACTGTTTTTCTTTTAACATTATATCATATTTTTTTCAAATGTAACAAACTGTTGGCTGCTTACCCCGAAATAATCTCCCTCCTTCTTGTGTGCTAAAAAATGCGCTCTGATTTTGACAAGAATTGACAGAAAACTCTTAATCTCACGAAAGGGACCCAGCCTGTGACATGTACTTGGAAACTGGCTTTGGGCAGTGAGATGTAAATTGAAGTCGGAAGGGGTGGGTGGGTGTGTCTTCCTAGGAAGGTTTCCCTCCGTGAACAAAGGCAGGAACTGTGGTGGGGTGAGTAGCGGGGGTGGGTGGTGGGTGGGGAGAGGTTTTGGTCATTATCTTAGGGCCATGCTTCCGGGCTTTGAGCTGAAATTGTTGAGGACGCCTTCCTGACACCTGCTGCAATTATTTTTGTGACCAGTAGGGGGAGACAAAAAAACCCCATAGAGACGTAATCCCGGAGCTGAGAAAAATCCCTCGTTTGTTGTATGAACCATCTGCAGTCAAGTATGCTATTCCTTGCAGCTGAGGGGCATTCCTAAATGCCACATTGGTTAAGGAGGTCTCCTTCTGTCACTAGTTTACTGTTTTGCCTGAAGTAGGCACTGGGATTTGAAGTTCAAAGCCGAACGCAAGCCCTTGAACCAGAGCAGGTGAGAGCGAGGAGCATCGGGTCAGGACTGAAGAAGGGAGCAAATAAACTCTGGGGCAGCCACGGGCTGGAGGAGCCGGTCCAAGGGGGGCTTCACGGAAGCGTTTCGGTTGGATCTTTTCCTCTCTCTGCCAGCTCTTAGTTTAGAATGATCGATAACAGTTTTTCACCTCCCAGGTAGAAAGCACTTCTGCTTCCCGGAGCTCTGCTGTGGTCGGGGATATAAATCCAGCCACCTTGGCTTCCTGGGTTCCAGGGGTGCGTGGGCATTTCCTGGCACTCTGGCGGGAGGAGACCCCGCCCCCGTGAGCACGACCAGCCTGCACCTTTGCCTTTCGACCACGAGGGGGCGCGTAGGACACGCTGAAGCTGCGTCTGGAGGGCTAGGGAGGGGTTTCTGGAAGGACAAGCTCATCCGAGGGTGTGCAGGCAGGCCAGGTAAGGGGAGGATGCGAGCGTGGGGCGTAATTGGGACCTTAGCTTGCAGCTCCGGCTAGTGGGGGAGAAGACAGAGGTCTGAGCGGTAAGAGCGAGGAAGGACGCAGAAAGGAATAGCACGGATTGCTTTGGAGGCTGGTTCTGGGGGGTGGGGGGGAGCTACACTGGGAACCAGAGCAGGGACTGGGAGTACTGGAAATACTATTCTACTATTCCAGGTGGGTCATCTTGAAAATGTTTCCTCCGATGAGAAGCAGGAAGCTTGCAAGTGCTCCAGCAGTAGGGATCAGGTGGGTGAGAGCCATCAAAGGGGCTGAGGCTGGAGGCTGTGTGTGACATAGCCTGTGGGGGAGGGTGCTGCCAGAAGTGACTCCGATCCAAGGCTTGGGATCCGAATTTGAGTCACCACTCTCCCCCACAGCTCCTATCTAACCCGTCAGCAAACTCAAGGCTCATCGGTCCATCTGCAAGTCCTGTAGGCTTGATGTCCAGAATATATCCTAAACTCTGGCTGCTTGCTCCCTTCACAGCTGCTAGGATTCCAGTCCAGAGTCCTTCCGGGGACTTGTTTCTGGTCTCCTTGTTTCCACCCTTGTGTCACCATTGTCCCTTCCTCACACAGCAGCCAAAGTGATGTTTTAGAAACCTAAAGCAGGGGCGCCTGGGTGGCTCAGTCGGTTAAGTCTCTGACCTCAGCTCAGGACATGATCTTGGGGTCCTGGGATTAAGCCCCGCACCACTGGGCTCCCTGCTCAGAGGGGAGCCTGCTTCTCCCCCTCCCTCTGCCCCTGCTCTCGCTCTCTCAAATAAATAGATAAGATCTTAAAAAAAACAAAAAACCTAAAGCAAATCCTACTGCCATCTTGGTTAGAACCTACCAGGTGTTGCCGTTTGCAGTAGAAACTCCTTCCCAAGGCAAACGATGCCTTGCACAATCTGACTGCTACCTGCCTTTTCAACATCCTCTCTTATGACACTCCAGCCCACTGGTCATTATTCTGCCTTTCAAATACCACGATTGTTCCTGCCCTGGGGACTTGGCATTCGCTATCCCCTCTGCCCCAAATGCTCTTCCCCCAGATATTCCCATCGTTGATTCCTTTCCTTTCACTTGGAAAGGAACAAAAAGGAGAATGGTCTGGGATGACGCTGAGATAGAGTGGACATTGGCTTCACTCAATGTCTTTCTGGAAATCTTCCCTGATATTTCTGAGAGACATCTCAGCATGGACGAGTAAAAGTTGGAATTACTGATCGTGGTAGTGGTCATGGGAGGAGGTAAGATGTGGGCTGAACCTTGACAGAGGGTATTGTTTCAATAAGCAGAATAAGTTCTAGTGACAAGCCAGATTGGAGAAGCAGCATTCAACCAAAATTGGAGAGGACCTTAACAGCAACTACATTAAGTCCCATATCCTGTTGGCATCTCCTGCCTAAATCCGAGCCCTCCATCCCTGCAGTCTAGCTGGTGAACTATCCCCAGAGGAATTTTCGAGAGAGACAAAATACTACTAAGTGACTGAGGAATTGCCAAGGAGACAGTTTGTGGCAATGAGGTCCTCCTGGGGTGGGGTATTCTCAGAGTGCACTTGAACTTGGTCCTGCCTGAAGGAGAACCTCCTGGTTCTCTGTTGGGTGGGCAGGAGGTGCTCGTGGAAGGACCCACGGTGTGGGTCCCTGGTGTGCCCGGTGATGCCCACAGCTCAGCCCCACCCTCAGTCATGTCCCTTGTCAGGCCCCTGTGGCCCTCCCCTCAGCCATCTCACGCCCACCTGGTCAGGAACAATCTTTCATCTCTTCTTGGCCAGCTGTCTTGCCCTTCACTTCCTCCTCTGAAATCTCAATCTCTCCGGGAAGTTTCTCTGGATGTCTGAGTGGCTCTGTGTCCCTCTCCCCTTCCCCCACAGCTGGCCAGTCCTGGGGTCTCCTGAGGTTCCCTCCCCCTGCCCACCCCCAACCCATCTCTCCTGCCGTGGTGGGGCGGGGTCTCACATTCCAATCTGCCTTAGCCTGCCTGTTCCTGTGGACTTTGGGTTTCCTTATTGATCTGAAATCCTTCTCCTGTCACGTGGTTTTCTTTATTTGTTCATGGCCATATTTTTCCATCGTGACTATTTGGATTGTTTTCCTCTGCGGCCTGTACCGTTCAAACAGGACTTTTTTTTTTTTTTTTTGGTTCTAGAGGAGAGGAATGTGGATTTCACATAGACTGAGGAAGCTATTTCTCAGCTTTGATTTCCAAACTGGGTCAAAGTATCAAAAATGACAAGCAGAACCTTCAAATTTAGGCTTTCAAGAAAGACTAAGGGTCAGCTCAGCATACTGAATGTGGGGGATGATTTCCTTAAGGAGCCCAACTCGGAGGCCCGGGGCTGGGAAGGGAAGGAAGTGTGCGTCACGCAGATGAGCTTCATAGAAAGGTCAGGGGTGAGAGGTCTGTTCTGTCTTTTGGGGTTTTCAAACCTGTGGACGGTGGTGGGTAACTGGGTTAAAAAAAAAAAAACAAACTCAAGTGAATTTGGAGGGAGTCCAAGAACATCTGATTCCTGTTTTCCTGGGAGTGCGTCCTGGAGGGAGGAAGCCTCTCAGATGAGCTAGGGTCTCTGGCGACTCCAAGACCAGAAGGTGTGGGAACCTGGAATGGAGGGGGGCTGCTCACTGGGAGGAGGCAGGTCTGGGCAACTGAGGCACAGAAGAGGCGTGGGTTGTATTAAAGAGGTTCTACGACCTCGCAACAGAGGGGACATCCACAGTGGGCTCCTGAACAAGGCGCAAGGGACCAGACGGTCCACGCCCTGCTACAGTGGACCCCCCAGGGCAGGATGCCCTGTAAACGTTGCTTTAAGTCGATACCAAGAATTTCAAATGAATCGAAGGCTGAGAAGCACAGGATGAAGGGTAACATCTACTCCCATTTTTGTATCATCTCTGTTTAAAAAAATACTTTTCTACATTGTGTGCTAGGCAAGGTGATTACTGTTGATTTGATCCACAGATTAGATTAATGGGGTTTTGCAAGACAACTGAGCCGTGAGTCAGCTCCGTGGCCGGCATTCTCGGCTTCTATGTCCCTCAATCCACCACCTGACCCCTGGCCTCTAGAGCTCGTCTCTCCTGTCCCGCAGGAGGGGTGGCTACTGCCCCCGGGTGCCCTCGGAGCCTTCAGCCCTCGCTCCCGCCCACAGCACAGTGAGGGGCTGGGCCAGGCTGCTGTGCTTCACCCGGCAGGAGTAGGAGCCAGAGCCGGAGCGGGAGGCTCTGTCCTGCGGGGAAACTGACATCACCACCCAGGACTGGTAAGTGCTGTTTCCGCTGGGAACAACGTCTCCCCCCTCAGCCTCCTGTGTATCGTCCCCCTGAATCCAGTGCAGCTCAATTTCTCGTGGGTAGAAGCCATCGGCTCGGCACTTGAGTGTCTGAGTTTCTGCTGGGGTCCAGTGGCTGGTGATGGACACGGTGGGGGGATCTGCGAAGGGACAGAGCGTGGACATTGAGGGTCTGCCCTCGGTGGCTCCCGCTCACGTCCCTTCCCTCCCGCTCTCTGGGCGTCAGTGATGAGCAGAACTCCAAGCTCTGTGTCTGCCTCCCCAGGGAAACTTTGCGAAGATCAGGCAAGGCCGAGGGTTCCCAGGAGCCTCCCCGTTGGATCGTGGAATGACCACAACAGCCCACGGGCTCCCCTGTCCCTCCACCGTGTATTGACATCTGATGGCAAGAAATTGTGACTACCCCCCCATACATTTTTCTATTTTTTCCCAAACTTCTGAGTGAGCTTTGGGGCTCCCTCCTCCCCCATTCTCAGCTCGGTGTCTTAATTCTGCCTGTGGCTCTCTCCGTCAGACCCATGCCTGCTCTGTCCCACAGGACCCTCGTTCTCACTGTTTCCCAAACCGAAGTCTCAGCTTGGGACAACCAGGCTCTGACAGGCAGGCATTTCCCACACCTGCCTTCAGCCACTGCCCAGCCGGGAGGCATCATCCGAGAGACACCACCTGGGCCTGAGATGCTCCCCAGGCTCCCAGCCTGAGATCACCTTGGTCTTTCTCAGCTCAGCACGGGGGGAGCAGGACCTAGGAAGCGGGGGGTACCTTGTCGGTCCAGGTGGATCTTGCTGAACTGCAGGTAACTCCGCAGCATCGCTGGGCACTCCTCCTCCAGATAGGCCTTGGCCCGCAGCACGTAGACCTTTTCCGCCTCCCACTTCTGCTTGGTGTTCAGAGCGGCTGGGTCCTGGGGGACCCAGGCTGGGATTTCTTTGTTGAACTCGATGAAGTTCCTTCCATCGTAGGCGTACCTCCAGAATGCTCCACTGCTTTTGTTATTCCGGAGCTCACAGCCAAACATTCCCTGAAAGGTGTGAGCCCCTGCACCCGCCCCGGGCCCCCCAGGGAAGTCAGTCAGCCTGGCATTGACTCCGTTTTAATAACTTCGACTCCTACCCAGTTTGCAGAAACAACAGGAAGCGAGGTTTTGGAAATCTCAGCATGTGGTCCCTTTATCTTGGCAAATGGGTTATGAGTCACACATACAGCAGAAGAGGGAAAGGTGCTTTGGTTTGGTGTTTTAGGCCCGTCTGAGCTGCGATGTATCCTTCCCGGCTGGGGAGGGTCAGGGATTGCAGACCATGCACCGCGCTCCCAGCTTCCTGCCCCCCACCGTCCGGCATCATCTCATCTAGTGAACGTCGAATACACTGGGAGTTCTTAGGAACCTGACAGAACCACACTGAAGTGCCATCTCCAAGTTAAATAGAAATTATTCGGAGTTTTATACAGATTACCAAATCTCTCCTTTTTCTCGCTGTTCTAAGTGGAGCTCATGTTACCGCTTGAGTAAACATGATGTGATCACGGCTCCCCTCTATTCTGGGGCCTAAGATCTTCATTACGAATCTCTGAAGCCCCCTCTCAGCCCAGTGAGCAACAAGTCTTGGAAACTGGCCTCCTCTGGGAGGGGGACACAACTGGCGGGGACCCGATACTGATTAGCGCTGTGGGCCCAGGCTCTGATCCCAAGCTCCCTGGGCGCAAACGGCAGATCTCTCTCCGCCCCGACCTGGCGTGAACTTGAGCGTTTACCCTCCCTGTGCTTTGGTCTTCTCGGCTTGGAAACAGCGACGGCCACAGTGCTGCTTTAGAGCGTTGCTGTGAGCGTTCCCAGTGTTGACGGCTGTGCCTGGCCCATAGTAGGTGCTCAGGAAATGTTATTCTCACACCCTCCATTCCTCTCTTTACCCTCTTTACTCATAATTACTTGCTTCAGCATTTTTATTCCAGCCCATCAGATGTCTGCTGGGTCCTTCCCGGGCACCCGGGTACCTCACCCTCTCCTACTTCTGATGCACAGTGCGGGCCCTTTTCCTTACCAGGGCTTCCCCTTCCTTATCCTTCAGATGTCTGCGTACCTCTGGCCTCCTGTAGGAAACTCTCAGATTCTACGTAGCTTCTTAGGCATTTTTGTGCTCAGAAACCCATCTTTCGACACTCACCCTATGATGATTTAGCATCAACAGTTCACCAGCCTGTGACTGGCTGACTTGGGACATAGGGTTGGGGATGGGGGGTTGGGGGGTGGGGAGGTCCCGGCTCCTCCTCCTCCTCCTAACACAATTCCAGATGAGCCCTCCCAAGTCCGCTCCTTATGGACAGGAGGGTCTTTAGGATTCCATGTAACTCTAACAGTGTGTGGCTTTGAATTCAGTCCCTACTAAGCTCCCAGTATGGGCCACAGTTTGTGTGAGGCAGTTTCTCTCAATCATTCAACATATTTCATTTGAGCAGGTTATTAGTGGCTGTCCCAGGTGATGGGACGATTGGGGAGATCAAGACCGACGATGTTCTAGCTTTCATGGAATTTGCATAGGTAAGTTTTGTGGAATCTTTTGAAGGCTCCAATTTCACAGATTCAGACCAGATAATTAAGAACATGTTCATTGTCAAACAGCTAGTGACTGGCCGGGCCACCATGTGAACCCAGGTCTGACGGACCCCAGGGTTAGCTCACTCTTCCCAACATCCCTGGGCAAGGGAGCCTGATGCCTTCTAAAGTAGGATCAGCCTCAGACAGGTTGGGCTGTGCAGTTGAGAGGTGACGCATGCCGGGATGAGAGCTGACTCTGACATCACTTCCTGTCAGAGCTGAGGCCTGGGAGTGAGGATGGGATGGGATGGGGCAGGAGGAGAGCGGATGCGCTGTGGGGTTGGGGGGATGCAGAGTGTCTGCGTATTTCTACCCTGCTCTCTGTTCCTCCTTCGGGATGGGGATTACTTCCATCCTGCTGACCCCTTTCCACTCACCCCTGCAGGGCTGCCTCTTGAGCTAAGACCCTCCACCCCAGCAGTCCACGGTCCACTGACCTTCTGTATCCTTGTAATAGTCCATGATGTCCTTCAGGGTCACCATGAAGATGTCCTCCCTGGCCTTCTGAAGTTCACTCTCGTTCTCCCAGTCCTCTATTCCTTCCATCTGGCTCCAGGGGTACGAGGGTATGGCCTTCCTATCTTCACTGTCATAGTGAAAGAAATCCTGGTCATTGAGGTAGGCCGTGGCCTGGAAGCTGAGGAAGCCGTCCCTGGGCTTGGACAGCCCAGTGTAGAAGAAGCTCAGAGAGTAAGGCCCTGAAAAAGAGGAGGACTTTGAGGTGTGGGGTCCATGCAAGGGATGCCCAATGTGGGGCAGCAGAGGGCCAGGAAGGGGGCTGTGGCCACTGGTCCTCGTCCTCCCCAGCCCTCAGCCTCACCACTCTGGAGGCTCACCCAAGTGCAAAGGGCCCTACCTCTATCCTGGGTATGGTACTTCAGACACCATTGTGTTTTCACTTCATTGTTTCTTCTTGACACATAAGAAGGTAATATTTCTCAGCCTCCTTGTATGTATTTTGGGATCATGCGACTGCATTCTGGGGATGTGAGTGGGAGTGATGTCTTTCTTCTGGTCTGAGGCCCTATTAACTGGTTTGTTCTGTCTTTCTTTTATTTATGTGATGACTGTGGAGACCTCAGGATGAAACCAGGAGTCCGAAGATGCAAATACCCCAGATTCCTGAGTCACCCCAGGGAAGACAGGAACGTTGCCTTATCTGTATTCACTTTACACAAGCAAGAAATAAACCACTTGTTGGGTTAAGCCACTAAAAACTTTGTTACTGGAGCACGACTTAATCTAAGACATAGAATTCGAATGTGTAGGAAGAATTTACCAGAAAACTCAGGAGATGACCTAGAATGGATTGGCACAGGGTAAGGTCAGGATCTGGATCTCAGAATTCCCAGGGTTGTACCTTGCGTTTTGGTGTGAGGCAGGGGCTTGGAGAAGGGGGACATTTCCAATTAATTCAGGATATAACTCACATCGGGGTTAATAATGTTGGAGGTTCTATGGATGATTCCTAGTTCAAGTACTGAAATTATTCTTGCTAATTAGTTTCTCAATGTGATTAACTTTAGACCTCGTGTAAAGCAGATTACCCTTCACAGTGGGTGGGCCTCATCCAATCAGTTGAAGGCCACAAGAAAGAAGCCCAGTCCCCCAAAGAAGAAGGAATTCTGCCTCCACACTGCCTTTGGACTCAAGATGGTAACACTGACTCTTCTCCGGGTCTCCGGCCTGCAGATTTCAATTGTGCCATCCAGTTCCTTAAAATCAATCTCTTTTCCTGTATTTATATCTTGTCTGTTCTGTTTCTCTGGAGAACCCTGACTAATACAGATTTTGGTGTAGGGTGTGATTAACATTTTAAAATAAAACATGCATCCTCATAGTTTTTAAATGTAACGAATTTCAGACATGCACAGTTTAGCTTACATTTCTTCATGTAATTGGTGGCCAGGAAACAGCCTCATTTTCCTATCCTAGTGTGGACTCTGGAGCTTCCCAGATTCCAGCTGGCTTCTTTCCCCCTAACTTGCCCTCAGGGCTAATGGTAGCACTGTGGTCTGACTGTGGGGGGAGGGGATCATTTTCCTTGTACAACCGTCCAGTTAACCTGCCTTCACATCTGCCCCTTAGGGTTGTTCCCTCTTTCTCTGAGAACCAGACAGATTCACCCAGCCACTGGAAGAAAGCAAGGGACAGAAAGTTCTACCTGTGTGGCTCCTGCTTTGTGTGTGACCCTCGCCAGGTCACTTCACCTCTTTGGTCTCAGTTTTGCTCATTTGTAAACTAAGGGTTTTAGCTTCTGATTCTTAAGGCCTCACTGAGCATGAGTTCAGAGGCTCCCTCAAGGCTTCTCGACGTTTGTGAGCTGAGTTGGGTGACAGCCTTGGACACTCACTCCCACGGTATATCTGGGAATCCCAGCTGCATTAGAGGCCCTTCTCCAGCCCATCTGTCCCCCAGAGCCACCCTGGCTTCCTCACTCACCAGCTTGGGTCTCCTGAGGGACTGCAGGACCCAGAAGGAGTAGCAGGGACAGCAGGACAGACACCACTGTAACCATTTTGCCTGACCGGAAGATTCTGGACTGCCCTGGATCATGGAGCTCAGAGCAGACTACTTGGAAATAAAGCCAGGTGTAGTTCTGGGAATGATTGGGCTGTGAGCCCAGCCTGGGAAAGGTGACTCCACAGCCAATAAGCACTCAGGACAGGCTCCTCCTCTGACAGTGACAGCGAAGGATGCACAAGCCACCCCGGGCAGAGGTTGCACTCAGCCAGCTCACAGACCGTGTGCAGACTGAGAGCCAAGCCGGGCTGGGACTGTGTATCCCCCAGGTGACAGAATGCCAGGGCACGAGGGAGGAGGGAAGCGGGAGTGTTAAGTGGCAGGTGCCTGGGGTGTGTGTAGCCTTTCCAGTCTATCACCCTAGGCTCACTGCGGGGGGGTTGGGGTGTTGTCAGACCGCCTCTGGAAAAGTTCTGCACATGGCAGACCCCAGCTAGGGTGGGACCCTCTCTCTCTCTCTCTCACCCAGCACACTGGAGTTCTGCGTGGAGGACATTCACATCTCTGCCTCCCTCCCTTTCTTTTTTCTTTTAAAGATTTTATTTTTTTATTTGAGAGAGAGAATGAGATAGAGAGAGCATGAGAAGGGGGAGGGTCAGAGGGAGAAGCAGACTCCCTGCTGAGCAGGGAGCCCGATGCGGGACTCGATCCCGGGACTCCAGGATCATGACCTGAGCCGAAGGCAGTCGCTTAACCAACTGAGCCACCCAGGCGCCCCGTCTTTTTTTTTTTTTTTTTAAGATTGATTTATTTATTTGAGAGCGAGCGCGCGCGCACTTACGTGAGTGGGGGAGGGGCGGAGGGAGAGGAAGGAGCCGGACCCTGAGATCGCGACCCGAGCTGAAACCACGAGTTGGACGCTCACCCGACGGAGCCGCCCAGGCGCCCCTTCCTATGCTTGGGGAATCCAGGCCTTTCCACCCTGGGGGCAGAAGTAGCCCGATGCCCCTTTGGGCTGCCTCCTCGCAACGGAACGGGGGCGCCCGGCTTGGGCTCGGTCAACGGACGCCGCGCCCTGGCCGCGGGGGCAGGTGTCGCGGAAGCGCAGACGGCGACAGAGCGGGCGGCCCCTCCTGGGAGCAGCGGGTCTGCAAGCGGGGGGCGTGCCCCGCGTCCGGGGAGGTGGTGTCGTTGGTCCCTCCTCCCGGCCGCGGTGTGTGTTTGCAGGACTTGTTCAGTGGTGTGATTTTTGCCCTGGGCTTCTCCCACCTAATTCCGAGGCGGGGTCTTCCAGTCTCTCCGTTGATCCCGACGGCTAACCGATAAACCTGTTTGTTTTCTGCTTCAGGTGGGAGTTCGATTCTGTTTCAGCAACTGAAGATTCTGCTGATAATGAAATTGGGACAGGGAAATGCAGGGAGGGTAACCGGGCTTGATCGCAGGGCCGGACGGACTGGGGCTGAATGCAGAGACGATACACACGTTTTGGGAACCTTCTTGCAGGCTGTGGTTTTACTCCGTGGAGAGTTACCCACCTGACTGAGTTCTCTCTGGCGGTCCGCCAGAATGAAATGCTCATCGAAGGCAAAATTTTAGGTCCTAAGCAGCTGCTACCATAGGACGGCGTGAAGGGCTTAAGGAAATCAGGGACCCAAGTCTGGGAATGTGGAGTCCAGAAGTGTTGCAGAGCCTAAAGAAAAAGAGTGTAAACACAAAAGCAAGGAATTACCGACTTCAAGCACAGCCTGAAAAATTAGGCAATTTCTGTGACAGTGTGGAAAGAATCTTTTGTCTTTTGCAATTGCCAGGATGAAACAGATGAAAACCTAATACTGATTAATGATTAGAACCTAACAACAGAAAATTAGGTTGTGTAACCTAATTATGAAAACCTAAGAAATCTAAAAACCAAGTGTGGTCAGGAGTTTCCTGCCCATCTCCTATGATGGATGCCAACAAGGAATTATCGGAGAAGGAACTCAAATCTGGAATGGTGTCAGCATGGGACATACTGTGGTTGAACAGGACATGGAACAGAGATAGAAATGCCAATTTCTGGGTGCCTGGGTGGCTCAGTTGGTCAAGTGACTGCCTTCAGCTCAGGTCACCATTCTGGAGTCCTGGGATCGAGTCCCACATCGGGCTCCCTGCTCAGCAGGGAGTCTGCCTCTCCCTCTGACCTTCCCCCTCTCATGCTGTCTCTCTGTCTCATTCTTTCTCTCTCAAATAAATAAATAAAATCTTAAAAAAAAAAAGTTTAAAAAAATGCCAATTTCTTTATATACATATATTTATATATGTATATAATATATGTATATATATATTATATATATATATTTTTAATTTTATTTTTAGGGATGCCTGGGTGGCTCAGTCAGTTAAGTGTCTGACTCTTGGTCTCTGCTCAGGTCTTGATCTTGGGGTTGTGAGCTCAAGACCCACGTTGGGCTCCATGCTGGGTGTGGAGACTACTTAAAAAAATTTATTTTTAAGTAATCTCTACACCCAACATGGGGCTTGAACTCACAACCCCGAAATCAAGAGTTGCATGCTTCATTGACTGAGCCAGCCAGGTGCCCCAGAAATGCCAATTTCTGTTGGCAGATAAAGGACAAATTTTGTAAGGACAGGGATGGTATCTGTCATGTTCATTTTTCTGTCCCTAGTGCTTAGTCCAGTGCTTGACAGAGAGAAGACAGTAAAATAACACTTACATAAATACATCAACGGATACATGAGCAAAGACAAAAAGAGATGGTGCCAGACCTATGTGAGGGTCATTAAGGCCAATTTGGTGGAAACTGGGTTCGTGAAGATTGAGGGGATGGGCAGGTGGGATGATAAATTTAAAAGGCAGGTTGGAATCAGGTTCTGAAGGGCTCCAATCCAATGAGTATCCAATATCATCCAACGAATGAGGCACATCCCACTGCTGCAGCTTGTCCCTCACAGCCTCTGGTCTCTGCATACCCCATCCCTCTTGGTCAGTGGTTCTTGGCCTTTTGTGCCATCGCCTCCCTTGCTGGTTATCCTCAAGATAATTTTTATTTTTTTAATTTTAAAATTTATTTATTTTCTTTCAAGATAATTTTTTCTTGTTTTAAGTAGGCTCCACACCCAGCATGGAGTCCAACACAGGACTTGAACTAAGACCCTGAGATCAAGACCTGAGCCGAAATCAAGAGTCAGACGTTTAACCGACCGAGCCACCCAGGCTCCCCTCAAGATAATTTTTGATGCATAAAATAAAATACGGAGGATACAGAGGAAGCCAATTACATGGAAACACAGGTCTTCCCATGTACCCTTGGGGCTGGTGGGCTGTTTGCAGAGTGGTCCCCCGATATAGAGCAATATGCAATTCCAAAGTGACTGAGGAATTGCCAAGAAGGAGACAGTTTGTAGCAATGAGGTCCTCCTGGGGTGGGGCATTCTCAGAGTGCACTTGAACTTGATCCTGCCTGAAGGAGAATCTGCTGCTGGTTCTCTGTTGGGCGGGCAGGAGGTGCTCGTGGAAGGATCCACATTTGGTCCTCTGGGCCCTCTATCCTCCCTGGTGTGCCCGGTGATGCCCACAGCCCAGCCTCACCCTCAGTCATGTCCCTTGTCAGGCCCCTGTGGCCCTCCCCTCAGCCATCTCACACCCACCTGGTCAGGAACAATCTTTCATCTCTTCTTGGCCAGCTGTCTTGGCCTTCACTTCCTCCTCTGAAATCTCAATCTCTCCGGGAAGTTTCCTCTGGATGTCTGAGTGGCTCAGTGTCCCTCTTCTCTTCCCCCACAGCTGGCCAGTCCTGGGGTCTTCTGAGGTTCCCTCCCCCTGCCCACCCCCAACCCATCTCTCCTGCCATGGTGGGGTGGGGTCTCACATTCCAGTCTGCCTTAGCCTGGCTTGTTCCTGTGGACTTTGGGTTTCCTTATTGATCTGAAATCCTTCTCCTGTCACGTGGTTTTTCAAATTTGTTCAAGGGGCCAGAAGTTTCTTTGAAATATCACTGGCTGAATTATTTCCTTCTGAGTTATTTGGGTTTTCTTCCATGACCAAGTATCAAAGACAGTATTTTCACATATTGTGCACCCAATTCGGCATGAGAAAAACTACGAATGAGAGAGAGAAGCAAAGGTCCATGGGGCTTACCCAGGCCAGTTTCTCCCTAGGAAGCTCAAGATAAGGAAAGAATCTGAACTTAGGCACCTTCCTTGAGGCTCAGGAGTGAGCCGGCAATGTCCCTCCCTGTTCTTATTCTCATCCTGAACTCAGAGCTTTTGAGAATTATTTTTAGTGGGTTAAGTAGGATTCTGAGGAACACCATTCCATACTTCTAAGCCCTCTTTCTCTTCCACTGGGTCTTCAACCTACCATGTCTCCTCTTCTCAAGGTTCCTTGGCCCTTCTCTTGCTCATTGCTGGTGAGTAGAACATAGGAAGCACTGGACTTAGTCCAGGTAGTAGGTGATCCCTCTGAGCATGTCAGGACACTCCTCCTCCAGGCAGGCCCCAGCCACTTCACTGGGATGTTCTCTGATTCCCACTTCTGATTGGTGCCCAGGGCTACAGGGTCCAGGAGCACTCAGGCTGGGATTTCTTTGTTGAATTTGATGAATATGTCCATTGTGGTAGGCATATCTCCAGAACACCACCCTGCTTTTTTTCTTTGTTTTTACTCTAGAGCTCTCAACCCAACATTCCCCAGAAGGTGCAAGACCCTGAATGTAGGGCCCCCACACACAGCCAGCTAGTCTGGCCTCATTTCCTGCTTTGTTCACGGCATTCATTTCCACCTCTGTTGTGTTTCTAAAAATTTTTTATTATTGATTTTATCCTATAAAGCCATAAAAGCAGTTGAGGGTTCAGTCAATTTTTTTGTTTAAAATAAATTTCCAGGGGCGCCTGGATGGTTCAGTCAGTTGAGCATCCAACTCTTGGTTTTGGCTCAGATCATGATCTCAGGGTTGTGAGATTGAGTCCTGCGTTGGGCTCTGCGCTTTAGCTCAAGTCTGATTCAGATTCTCTCTCTCCCTCCCTCCCTCTCTTAAATCAATCAATCCATCTTTAAAAAGTAATAAAACAAAATAAATTTCCAGGGGCACCTGG